AACATTTTCATGTTCCCCCATCTCCTCTGCCCTTGACATACAGGGTTTGGGTTATATTTTATATCTGGTGTGTGTGTGTGTGTACACATATATGTATGTGCAGACATGTGCACATGCATGTAGAAGCCAGGTCAACCTCTCAGGTGTCACCCTTCAGGTGCTGTCCACTTTGTTTTTTGAGACAGAGTCTCACTGGGTTGAAAATTTGCTGGCTGGCCAGAGAGCTCCAGGAATCTACCTGTCTCAGATCTATAGTTGGGTCAGGGCTGAGGGCAGAATTCACTGAAGAATCTGATTTTTTTTTCTGTAGAAGTCTCTCCAGATGCCTTATACCTGAGGCCACACTGCAGGAAAGGGGGGTGCCTCATCCTCTAGTGAGTGCAGTTTGTTCACTAGTTACCACCATGCCCTACAGCTCTGCTCAGGTGTGGTCACCTAGGCGGTGACCCTGCCTCCTCTATGGGCCAAGGATAGGCAGAGGTTGAAACTCTAGTGCCTGCCTCTAAGGTCCTCGTCAACAGGGCCACCTATGCAGACTAGTTTCCTAGAAATCCCTGGAATTCATCTTGGGGATGACAGCACACAGCTCCTGCGGAAAGCCATGTCCCAGCATTGGCAATGAGTGGAGCTGGGGAGACATTGGCTCTGGCCTCTACCCTTTGGGCTGCTGTGCTTAGGGGAAGCTTGGAGACAGACAGGAAGTAGAAGCAGCAATGGTGGTGAGTTCCTGGCCCTTTCCTGAAGCAACAGCAATGCTTTCTAGAAAACCAGGTGCACTGTTAGTAACCCAACTGCTGCTCTGAGCCTTGGGAAGTGTGTGTCTCATGTCAACTCACTCTCTGCCTTTGTACCCAAGTTTCACAAAATCGGCTCATGAGGTCTGTAACAGCCTTCCTGCCCAGGTGCAGACGCCCATGTGACACAAAGGGCTCTCGCTCTCAAGGACTTCGCTTGCTTTCCGCCAAGTGTCCCAGCCACCCCATACATTTGTTTGTGAACTACTTTTTCCATGTGCTTGATTAACACTGAGCTTATGATGGAGGTGGCGGTTTACTGGGCTGGAAGAAGGACCAGACTGGGATTCTGACTTACACTTTCCTGTCACTGTGAAGACAGCAGCTCCCAGATCCACTGAGAAGACAGCTAGGGATCGAACGCCTGCTGCTCTTGCAGAGGACTCGAGTTTGGTTCCTCCCACCCACATCAAGTGGCTAACAACCACCTGTAACTGGAGATCTTACACCCTCTTCTGGCTTCCAGAATCACCTACTCACATGTAGTGCGCGCATACACACACACACACACAACTAAAATAATTTAAAAAAAAAAAAAACAGGAAATCTACAGCAAGTTAATTTGTCTTTGGCAAATTTTATGCAGATCTTCCTCAGAGTACTAATTTCAAAGTGGAAAAAAAAGTAGAATTAATTGTACTGACAAACACTTTGGGTCTGTTTGTAATAGCATATTGCATTGATGCATATACTCTGCAGAATTCCTTTTTCACGATACATTTTGAGAAGTTTAAACATTTACTCTTGGAATCATTGACTGTCTATTGTGTGCCCATACCTTTTGCCAGGCCCTGGAGAAAGAGGAGAGGGATACTTTGTGCCTCTACTTTCGAGACAAGCATCGTATGTCTCTCAATCGCCAGAGTGACCACTTCTCCTCAGACCTTCCTACTGAAAGGGCACATTCATGAACAGACGGGATATGCGTGTTCCCATCACCAACACTGTCCCACTGAGGGTTGTAAGCGTCGTTATAAGCACACACCATTCACCCAAGGAAATGGGGAGTAGAAACATAAAATGGGAGAATTGCCTTTCATACTGCTGAAAAATCCAGTTGAAATCAAAATCCCTGTCCTCACTTCCATTCTCATGAAACGCACTTTAGAAGGAAGTAGTCGCTTCTTTTTGGTTTTCAAGCTTAGCATGCATGTTTTTATCTGACACTTGAACAGTCTAAAACACTATAAGCATTTTTTCCTTTTTTTATTAAGAGATTTTCTATTCATTTTACATACCAACCACACATCTCCCTGTCCTCCCTCCTTCCATCCCCAGCTCCCCCGCAAACCACCCCTCATTCCCACCTCCTCCAAGGCAAGGTCTCCCATGGGGAGTCAACACAGTATACTCAGTTGAGGCAGGTCCAATCCCCTCCTCCCTGCACCAAGGCTGAGCAAAATGTCCCACTATAGGCACTAGGCTCCAAAAAGCCGGCTCATGCACTAGGGATGGGTCCCAATCCCACTGCCTAGGGCCCCCTAAACAGTTAAAGCTAAACAACTGTCTCACTTATCCAGAGGGCCTGGTCCAGTTCCATGGGGGCTCCTCAGCAACTGGTCTCCACTAGTTTGGCTAGTTGTCTCTGTACTTTTTCCAATCATAGTCTCTATATCTCTTGCTCATAGAATCCCTCCTTTCTCTCGTCAGTTGGACTCCTGGAGCTCCGCCTGGGACCTAGCTGTGAATCTCTGCATCTGCTTCCATCAGTCACTGGATGAGGGCTCTATGATGACAGTTAGGCATAGAACTGGTCATCTGATCACCAGTTCTATAATATGGCAGGATATAAGATTAACTCAAAAAAAAAATCAGTAGCCCTCCTATATACAAATGATAAATGGGATGAGAAAGAAATCAGAGAAACATCACCCTTTACAATAGCCACAAATAATATAAAATACCTTGGGGTAACTCTAA